TATTTTTTAAAATAAAAAATAAATAAAACAAATCTGACAAAAAAAAAATTAAACCTCATTACAAGGTTTTCCTTTTAAATAAAAACTAACTTTTAAATTTTGAATTAAAAGAATCCAATTTATTTTTTTAAACAAAATTTATTTAATAAAAAAAAACTGCTTTTTTTTCAACTTATTTTAACCAAAATTTTAAAATAAAATCTCTTATTTAAACAAAATTAGAGAAAGAAAAACCTTTTTATTTTTAAAATATCAAAATCTTTATTTTCTTTTCAAAACTTATTTAAAATTTCTTTTATTTTAAAAAAAAATGGGTTCTTATTAAAAATAAAGATTCTTTCAAACTTATTTAAAGCGTATTAGCGGGAGGGAGGTCACCGGAGCGCATGCATCGGAGGTCGTTGAAGTTCGTGATTGGAGGTCCTGTCATTCGCTTGTGTCGTCGAGGTCATGTGTATCAAGGAGAAAAGGTGGTGGGATAAGAAATAAGAAAGGAGAAGAGATGGAGTGGTGGTTAGAGTGTTACAGAGGTAGAGAAGAAGAAAATGCGAAGGCATGACTTCCTAACTCTCTGCCCTGTATGCTTTTCTGTGTGTCTTTATGTGTCTTTTAAATACACAAATAAAGTAACGGTAACATGCTTGAGTTGAGTCAGACTCAATAGAATTTGATCCATCCTTTTTTCTGTCATTAAGGTGGAGAACTGAACCAAGAATTCTCTTTCTTTATCATCAATGGAATCACTGTTCGAGACCCAAGATTCTATTTTATCATCAATCCAATCACCGTTCACATTTTTTCAACTAAAACCAGAGAGAAAAAAAAGAAGGGAAAATGTAGGGAATGACACCGGTAAAAAACTGTTAATATCAAATGTTTAAAATAAAATATTTATTTTTAAATTTGTAATTTTATTAATAAAATCAAAATCTTTAAAAGAAAGCTTTTTTTTTAATTTAAATTAAAACTTTAGCTTATAAACAATAATAAAGTAATCTTTTTTAATGAAGATATTTAAAAATAATAACAATAAAAAAAATTTAGCCGGACCAATAACGAGGTCTACAAGAAAGAAAAAAATTGAGTATTAGAAAGAAAAATAGAATCTTGAAAAATACAAATCTGTTTTTTAAATTTATATAGAATTTCAAAATCGTTTTTGAAAAAAAAAAAGAGAAAATTTTAATTGGTTATACCACTATTTTTCAAAAACTAAAAATCAAAAACCAAAAATAGAATATACAACGGTTATCAAACGATCACTAAATACTTGAATATATTTAAAATCAACTTGCCACGTATTTCTTAAATAATATAGTTAGTGTGCGAAGAAGAAGATGTCGTGGGATCCGTTGCACCGGTGGGAAGAAGAAAAGAGTGACGCCATGAGTGAGTGATCAGAGATGATAAAAATAGAATGGATGGGAGAAGGGAGAGACAAAATGAGAGAATGGGGGAGATGAAAGATAAATAAAAGTAAAGAAAACATGTTCGGTTTTAATTCTTCCAATTCAACGGTGATTCAAGTCCGATTTTAAGTTCGGGAGGCTCAAGCTAGATAAAGATTTCTTCTGATTTGTTTCTTGTTCTTATTGTTTATGAATAGTTTATATTAATTAAATTGACGTCTTAATTCATATTATTTGTTCTACCGTTATCCATGAGTTTGTGATCCATAATTGTCATGTGTGATTGAAATTATAAGTAGCAAGGAGCTAGCTTTATGTGTGTGTATTTATAGCTTTTTCATGTTAGATAGCTTGCATAATAGACTTTGAGGAAACAAAGGGACAAAATTAATTAATATGCAGCTATCTCAAATTAATTGATTTCGGTTTAGTCATTCTCATTATCTTTAATGTTATTCTTTGATTGATATGGAACGTTATGGTGCCCAATTGATTAATTATAAGATTTGATTTTGATGTTTGGTCCAAATTAATTAAATTAGGAGAATTAAAGCTTACCACGGCTGTTCTAAGTAAGTAAACTAAGTTCTTGAATTAAGAAATTAATTTTGTGTAAAGCCTATGATCAAGATTATAATTGGATGAAAATCACACGTTTGGATTGGAAGTTTGGTAGGATTGACTTTCGTTTTCCTTTTAGTTTATCTCTTGTAAATTTCAGATTCAAATTCAAAACCGCACTTTCTTTTAAAACTTTGAGAAGGTTTCCTTGCGTTTCAACCTAGTCTCACAACTTTTACAAATTAGATTTAGTAAAATCAATAATTATTTTGGATGACCTTGACAACCCTTACCAAAATTGGTGTCATTGTCGGGGAACCATTATTATTTTCCCATTGTTCAATTTAACCATTTATGACTCGTTCTTCTCATAATATAGAACTACAATTTGATCTTGGAATTGAAAAGAAATCACGCCAATTAAGAAAGGAGAGAAGACGACGTTTGGAATTAAGCGAAGAGATGATGAACATAACAGTAAAACAATTTGCGGCACCAGATTTGAATCAATAACCTTTATGCATTACTTTTCCAAATATAGAAAATGATTTTGAATTAAAATATGGAATTAGAGTTTTTCCCTTTTCTTTAGAGGATCAAGCAAAATATTTGCTTTATTACCTACCTTTTGGATCAATCACAACAAGATGAAAAAGATTATTTCTTGATAAATTCTTGCATGTATCACGAGCTGCAAATATTAGAAAGAAAATTTATGTAATCACACAAAGGGAGACATTGTACGAGTATTGAGAACAATTTAAGAGATTATGTGATAGTTTGTCCCAGCATCAAATCCCTATCAACACCTCATCCACTATTTTTATGAAGAATTATTATTAGTAAATAGGAGTATAATCGATGCAACTAGTGGATGAGCTTTGGTAGACAAGATACCAGAAGCAGCCAAACAACTTATGTCTCTGGAGGATATCTTTATGAATATTGCCAAGGGTACTATCAAATTTCAACCAGAAACAAGGGATGACATGCAGAATTTGGAAAAGCAAATTACTCAATTGTCTACATGAGTTAGTAAATTAGAAGCTCAAAATTCTAGAAGGTACCCTCGACAACCGTTACCAGAAATCGTAAATTTTAAAGAGATATCCTTTCGAATTTTTTTTAGAGAGATAAAGAAAAAATTTCGGAGAAAGAAAAGTTAGGAAAAAAGCTGGTGAGAGAAAAATTAAAGACAAAAATAGAAAATTATAGGGATAGTAGAGTTGAGAGCAAAAGTGAAAGAAAGAAAATTAGAAAGCTAGAAAAATTTTAATAAGAAAAAATTTAGAAAAAAAAAGTTGAAAATATGTTTGTTAGAAAAAATAAATTAATTAAAAAAGAAATAAAAGTGAGAGTGAAATAAAATTGAATGAAAAGATTTAGATAGACAAAAGTTAAAAGATATATTTCCAAAAATAGATTAGAAATAGAAAGAAAAATTATGAAATGAAAAATTTGAGAGGAGAGAAAAATTGGAAATATTAAATTTTCAGAGAGAGAAAAATGAGAGTGATATGTTAGACAAAAATAAAATAAAATAAAATTATATAGAGATGAAAATTTTGGAGATCGATAGAAATAGTAAATATTTCGAGATGACAATTTTATAAATACAAGATTTTTTTAAAGAAATAGGAAAAAATTTTAGAGTGACAAACAAATTTGTTAGAGAGACATATGAATTGATTAACAATTAAGTCTGTTTTTCAAAAATCAAAAACAAAAAACAGAAAACGAAATGGTTATCAAACGACATTTAACTACATATTAAAACATTGAAAAACTTTTGATTTTTACTCAACTTTGCATGTTGTACAATTTTTACCCTAAATTTTTAATTTCATCACATTAAAACTTACAAACTCAAACAAATATTGCAATTTTACCCTAAAATTTCTGCTAAACTCACCTGTTAGTTTTAACAAAAATCAAAGTAAAAATCTATTAAAACTCACCCATTTCAACAAAAATCACGTAAAATTATGTCTAATTAATGCACAAAATTGACAATGGAATAAAAAAATTCTAAAACTCACAAAGTTCAACATAAATAGCTCTAATGTCGTTTTTCTCCGAAGCATTATTAATTTCGTATAAAAAAATATGTTTATATTTGATAAATGCACATGAGAATATTTTCATTAATGAATTTTCAAATGGTAAAAATTGCTTCATACTCAAAAGTTGTAAAACTTATCCAAGTATAAAGTACAATCTGATGAAATTAAAAGTCAGGATCAAAATTATACACTCCTCCAACAGTAAAAATTGATAATTAAAAAAATTTTTTTTTTGAAAGTACATATAAATATGATTGTAACCCTTCGTTGTCTCCGTTCTTTTAAGTTCAATTGTAACTTTTTTGAAATTTTTTCCATTAGGTAAAGAATTCAACTTTCAACTTTAAAGAAGATAATTCAGTATTTTATCTATTAGAGTTCAACCGTTGCGAGTAACACGTCAGTAATAGTCTCCATCTAAAGGAAAAAGAGCAAGATATATTAATCATTGAACTATATTCATGTTTTTCTTAGTACAATATGTTGCGGTGAGATTCGAACATACGACCTTTTGATAAATAATACATTTCTTAATTAATGAAAAAAACTTGCCTCCTGAACGTCAGAACCACCATCCTCCTGATTATGACATAGTCCAATAAGAAATTAAATTTGTTGCTTTCATATTTTTCTATTATTTTATTAAAATTCAAATCTGATGCATATGTCTTCGATATCTCTTTTTACTTTTTTCTTTTTTTCGTTTTGAAAAAAGAAAAAGTAAAACAGATACTTAATAGATATTGAGAAAATATGTATGAGATTTGAATTTTAATAAAATAATAGAAAAATATGAAAGCAAAATGTTAATTTCTCATTGGACCAGGCCATAATCGGGAGGACGGTGGTCATTGGCAAGTTTTTTCCAAAATTAATTGAGCTGGGGCGATTTTGATTATGATTATTCCCAAAAAAGATTATAATAGAAATGGGCTTAATACAAATTTCTGTGATTCTACCGTCCATTTTCTCTATATCCCCACCGTATGTCCCCTGCGCTTCATCGCAGGAGGTCTCTCTCTCCCCTCTGAATTCAGATCTCTTCACCCCCGTTCTCTCTCTGCTTCAGCGATCGCTGCTTCCCTCCCAATTTTCAGTTTTCTCCTCCCCTGAATCGCTGTTCTTCATCGATTTCACTCAGATAATTGTGTTAATCGCATCGCCATGAACGATTTCGAGGGTCTTCTAGCTAACAATTATGGATTAAAGCCCCAAGGTAAAGCCGCCCCCATGGCTGCATCCAAGGGCAGTTCCAATCTCAACCCCACCAGCTCCCCAAACTTCGATCTTGGATCTCGGAGTTCCTTCCGATCGACTAAGCCCTCCAATTCCTATACTGGGTCTCTCGCCGATGACCACGATTCGCTTAATCGATCCACGAGTGCTCATGACAACCGCGAATTTGGTGGTTTCGATGATCTCCTCGGTGGGTCGGCTAGATTCTCCAGAAAATCGGGGGAGACTCGTGGAGGCGATTCAGATGTCAATTTTGACTCTCTGTTTCAAGGGTCTGGTAATTCGGGTCAACCGGCCTCGAGCTTGCCGGTTTACGATAAACCTGTGTATGATGATGATATCTTTGATGGCATTCCGGGTTTGAAAAGCTCGTCTAAAGTTCAGTATGACGATGTGTTTTCATCGATGTCTTCGCCGCCAAAAGCAGATTCAGCATTCGATGATCTTCTTGGGAGCTTCAGTAAATCGGATGCCACGAAGAGTACGGGTGGGAGAGGAACGCAGAGTAAAGATAAAGACATTTCTGCTTTTGATGATTTGATACCTGGGTTTAGAGGCAGAAGCCCCCCTGGTGACAGGTATAACATGGTGATGGTGTGCAATTTGTAAACGGGATTCTGTAGTCTAATTAAGCTTCATAATTGCGTTTGAATAAATTTGGATGTGGAAAATTTACTTTCATCATTACCATTTAACTTTTTCATGTTAAAAATTGTAATTTGTTATGTTTTATGAACAATTCGGTTGGAAAATCGGTCGAACTTTTTTTTTGTCCTTCACTCCCAGCACTAATTACACTAATGTCTCATTACAGTAAATCATCGTATTGGGCACTTATGTTTTGAGTTGTAGTCATAGCACTTTAAAATGAATGAGTGCTTAAGGTCTCCACTATTTTTTTTTTTTTACGTTGGTTAAGCCTGGTTGAAGCTTAGTTTTACTTCTGTTTGTTTTAGGAAGCTGACATTTTAATTCAAACGTTTGTCTCTTCCTGATTTCTTTTGTTAGCTGACTCTAGGTTAGCATGGCTTTATGGGGTTGCTTTGTCATGAATACATGGAGTTCTTTGGAAGAGTATGCCAAATGCTTCTCAGTCAATCCTACTGAGTACTATCACTAAATTTCAGTTTGCCTTTGTTAGAAAATAGCACATTTCAACTCAGCTTTGGTCGCTGTGGCCAATGAAGTATTCAATGAAATAAAGTATTCCATTGTTTAGGCTTGGGTTTTGAAATTTGATTTTGAGAAAGACTTTCACTTGATTGAATGGGACTTTTTCACGGTAAATAGTTGGAATGAATTTCTTAGAGGATTAATATCACAAAACTCTTGGTCTTTATTAATGGTAAACCTTGAGGTAGAATCCTTTCTTCCGAAGATCTTAGGTAAGGAGATTCCATATCCCTTTTCCTCATTGTCAAAGGACAACGGACTTCACTCTGACTTTCTCGAATCTTAGAAATTTGCAGCAACATTATGAAATTGAATCATTTGCAATGTATGGTTGAGACCATTATTTTTGGGGTCTTTGCCGACATGGAACTGGATTATATTATGGGGTCTAAAGTCTTTTGAGCTTGTGGTGGGAATGAAATTAATATACAAAAGAACCTTCTTGTCGACATTAATATACACAACCAAGAAGTCTCTAGGCAAGTTGAGACACTTGGTCGTTTGGTTGGTCCTTGGCCTCTAGGCTATTATCCACTTTACAGGTTTGCTGTTGGAAAGTAATCCCAAGAAGTCCCTTATAATTGATAGGGTCTCTAAAAGGTTAGACAAATGAAAAGATGCTATCTTTCCCAAGGGAGGAATATTTACCCTCGTGAAGTTTTGATCCGTCAAGTTTTCCTATCTAATATTTGTTCTTGTTCAAACTTCCAAGCCAGGTTTCTAACCTCCTTGAAAGGAAAATAAGATTGATTGGTTCCACTTTCACTCTTCTTTCTCTACCAAAAAAATCTGGTAACTAATAAGTGTGGCAGCATTTATAATAGCAAAACAGGGGTGGTACCAGACATAAATGTCTAAAATGAGGAGGAAGTTTGCTCTCCTTTCTTTTGATGGGAACAAATGCAGTGTTGGCTGATGTAGTCACCCTTCTACCCATGAATTAGCGACCCTCTCTTTCAGATAATCAAATTCAATATTGGGAGATGCTCTCAAATCAATTAAGGTACTTGGGGTTGTGTATTATGTCCATTCCTATGACGAGATCAACTAAGAAAATTAGTGGATAGAAAAAGAATTTGGTATACGATGCAGAGAATTAAAATATCTTATTACCTCTATCAACTATGATCAAGATATTGGGTCATCATTTAAAATTGAGATTTTCCCTTGTGAAGATTCTTTTTTGAAATGTTATAAGCCTTGGGGATAGAAAAAAGAGAAATTTGATGTGGGGTTCTATTAGACATATTGATTTGGATATTCATTGTTGTTAGGCGGGCTTCTGAAAACTCTTCTAGAGGAAATGTCACTCGTAACATGAGACATTTCAAAAAGCTCATTGGGAATCTCTCTTTGGAGGATGTTTGCCTTCAAATGTTGTTGCTATTGGGGCAATTTTAGGGAATGACCAGTTTTGAAGGATGTTTGCTTTTCAAACTCAAAATTTTGAAGCAAGATTTGACGAGACAGAATATGGAGACATTTGGAAATTAAGATTTTATTATAAAAAGCTTCAATTTCAAACCCCATTAAAGATCTTGACTACAGAAAAGTGGTAGATCCCATATGCAATCAATTATACCCTTAGAAGATAGCCAATGATCTTCGAAATGTAAAATTTGTTGGCTTAAAGAGGGTTGAGAAAGCTCCTATGTCTTTCATAAAATTGCCAATAGTAGCATTCATTGATGAGTTGGTCAATGATTGGGTGTGAGCTTGTTATACTGAGAGCCCAATTAAGAGAGACAGTGAACCTTTTTGAAGCTCTCTATACTCGATGAGAGGAATGTTGTTTCATCTTTAATGGCATCCATTGGGACCCAATAGGTGAAATAGATAGCAGATGACTTATTAGGCCTTTCGACAACTTGGAGATTAAGAACAGAATTAAAAGTTTCAGAAGTGACAAAGCTCCTGGCCTTGGCTTGATGACAAATTTAAGAAGTGTTTGAAGATTGCCCAATTAGAATTTATACAAGTGTTCTAGGGTCTTTTTTTTTTTTGAAGATGGAACGAATAATGCTTGCCTCGTAGAATTTTATTTGCCATATCTACAGGAAGATTGAAGCAACCATTATGGGAGAATCAGCCTATTAATTTAGTGAATGGTATTTCCAAAATTTTGAGCAAATTTTTGGCCGATAGAATTACGAAGTTCTCCCTCATATAATTATAGGTCACCAATTTGGTTTTATCAACAACATGCAAATTATAAATTTAGCCCTTATTGCTATCAGAGTTGTGACTGGATTTATCCATTCCAAGAAAATAGCTTGGACGTCGAAGATAGATTTGGGAAAAGGCTGCGACCTTGCTATTACAATTTTCTTCTTCCAATCATGGAAAAAAGAGGTTTAATGATAAATGGATACAATGGATCCATGCTTATATCTATAATACAATCTTTTCAATGTTGTAAAGGAAAACCTAGGGGTAAATTTTGTCTTTTTGGAGCTTGAGGAATAGGGACCCCCTCTTCCTTTTGTTATCGATATCTTAAGCAGATTTCTGAGTTGTGGTCTTGGTCTAATGTCCTTGGCCTTGAAGTTCATGGTAGGAAAATCATATCGAATCATTTACCATTTTTAGATGACACTCTTATCGTTGGGGCTTATAAAAAGAACTATACTGACAACATTTTGTAAATCTTGAGGATTTGAATGGGCTTCAAGTTGAGGATCAATGTGAAAAATTTACTCTCGCTGGGATCAGTATGGGAGGAATTTCCATGGATGGTGGCTGCCACTTGGTCAACTGGAAGATTAGTTGTCGCAAGATCAGGGGAAGTATAGGCAGATCTGAGGAAAGAAAGAAGTTCCTAGTTGCTTGGCTGAAGTGGACCTTCTTTTAAAGGAGACCTTTTTTTTTTGGTAGCCGATGGAGTGGGAAAGTCCTGTGAGAAACTTTGACAGCAGGAAACTTTACCTTGGGAGAGACCATGGTCCATAGTGCCTTGACGTCGGATAATAATGGTTGTTACACTGAGCTGACATCCTTCTTCTCTTGTCTGATCCAAGGAGATCTTGTTCTTCCAGCCTTTTTTTTGTAATTACCTTTAGAGTCATAAGGTCCCTAAGAAATGTGAAGTTTTCCTATGATCATCATAAAATTCAAAGCAGGATCCCTCTAGCTCTCTCAATCCAAATTAGTGTTGCCTTTGTTAGAACACTTAGGGAAACTCTAAAGATGGTGGTGGGTCTACAGTCCAAGTTATGGGATTTTTTGAACTTGTAGTGGGGTTTTCCTTCACACCCTGAAGACTTGGTAATTCAAGGCTTGACTGGACATAGGTTTAAAAATAATGAGAAGGTTCTGTAGGTGAACGCCTTCTTGTAATTGTTGTTCGGAGAATAACAAGAGAATTATCCAAGAAGAGAAGAAAATTAAAGTTACTAATCGTTAAGAAGATGGTAGCCTTGGGGTGGAGGATTTCAAAAGAGAACTGTGAAGAAATTCTTTAGGGCACTCAGCTATTACTATTTATGGAGAGTATACCAATGGATGATGGTTCAGTAATCGTTATTGCAATATTACGGCATCCTGTCCATGGAGTTTTGCGATCAAATGCAGGAAAAGATGTGAGGACTCTGTCAATTGCAATGCAGAAAGAATGTTTTTGGAACCACAACTTGGCATGTGACAATTCTCTTAAAATTTTGTTCCCTGGAAATTTGCTACTCCAATAAGAAACAGGCTTTGGTAAATGATTGTTGGATTGCGGGCACTTATTTATGGAGGATCCTTTTCATCTGACCTCTGTATGACAGAGAAATTGTTGAGGTTTCCAACTTTCTTTGAATTCTAAATTGCCAAAACGATATTGGGTAGGATGATATGATTACTTAGAAGTTAGGTAGTAGTGGTTGCTTCTGTATTTCGCCACTTCACCATGGGTATGGCCCTTCTCCATAAAATTTTGTCTAAAGTCATTTGGGGTAAGGGAATACCAAAAGGAGATATTTTTCTTGTGGAGCTTAGCCTCTGGAAGGTATTAACATCGATAAGAACTTTAAAGGAGAGTCCTACTTTGCTGTTGAGAGGAAGAAACTCAAAATTGCTAGTTTGTCCATTGCCACTTGACCTGTATAATCATATTGGCTCTTGTTTGGCACAATATTTCTTGGTTTGCTTTTTATTGTAATTTTGCGTGGTGCAATCTTTGGTTGGGTTGGCAACTCTTTCAAGCTCGAAGAAGAGGTGCTTTGGAATCGTGAGAAGGAAACCATAGAACTTTCCATGGTAAACCCAAAAAACGAGGAAGTTTGGGATATCATAATTTTTGAGGTCGTCTTGGAGCTTTTTGCATAAATATTTTTGTAACTGGCTCTTTTTTTTTTCCTCCCCTTAAAAGGCAATTGAAAGAACCTTTATTTAACCCCCTTGAGTTCGGGTTGATTTTTCATCACCCTTTTGCCTTAAGTTGTATATAAAAGACTCTTGTGTCCTTAAAAGCATCTTCGCCTGTTTAAGAGAAAACACCTTTTTCAAGATGCCAAGACCTGAAATCTTGATATCTAGCTGTGCTAGTCAGTTACTTGGAAGTTTTATATCAATTTTACCTATGTTAAAATAGTTTCTGTTTATTCTCATATCTTACTATGGAAAAAGTATTTTGGAGTACACTATAATTAACAAACAAATTCATTTCTATGTGCTCAAAATAGTCAAGTCTTGTACTTCATATAATTCTGGTATTTTGTTGGCCTAAAAATTTTGAATCTGTTTTTCCTTTTTTTTTGGTAAAATATTTAAGTATTTGACATCAAATTCAAATGGGAGTTTGCTAGAATCTAAGTCTTTATTGTTCCATACATTTTTCAAATACGTTGTCTCCACAGTCTCATGGCAATTTTTCCCAGTTTGTTTCGTTATTGTGTTTTATTAATGGCATATTTCACCTCAAATTAGCTCCACCAATCCCTTCCTAACTTTGCTTTTCTTTACTATAAGACATAAGAAGAGTCTGCCAACAATTTAGTAGTAGATTCTTAATGTTTCATAGGAACAATCAGTTAATAAATTTTGGATTGGGTGATTTTGCTTTCTTTTTATGGATGCTGTTCTGTCTGATAATGGAAAATGGAATGATGCTTATGCTTCCTATAATGTTACTTTCAGGTCAACCTCAGGAGCCAGCTGGTCATCAGAGCCAACTTCAGTTAAGTCATCCTCCACGCCAATGGAAAACCCATTTGGGGTGTCAAGGCAGCACACCGACCCACGTGAAGAAGTTAGCGACATTGGTAATTCAAAAAGCCCAAAATTTGATGGTTACCCTTCCGATGCAAATAATAGAGCTTTTGATGATATGGACCCATTTGCTAGCCTTGGCAAATCCATCCCTGCATTTTCATCAGAAGGGAATAACAGAGGCAAGGCTAGAAGTCCTCCTAGGGTAGACGGAAGTGCTGCTCGGTCTCAGAATTCTAACAGTAAAGAAACTATTGAGAAATCATCAGGAAGAATTTCTGGACAGCCTTTGAAGAAGGATGTGTCTGGTAAGAATGATAGACAATTTGATCAGCCCGTGTTTGACATGCCTACAGTTTCATCTAATTCTAATAAATTTGTTCCTCAATCAACATCTCCTCCTACTTCGAATGATGCAAATGTGATGGGGGATACTCCTAGATTTGAAGATGATCTTGAATCTGATGAAGTATGGCTCACTGTATCAGAGATTCCTCTTTTTACACAACCCACTGTTGCTCCACCCCCTTCAAGACCGCCACCTCCTATACCACAGCAGGTTCCAAAGGAAGGAATGGGTCCATATGGCTCTCGAAGTTCAAAGATGAATGCCAATGACTTCTCTTCATTTCCCAATTCTACACATCATTCTCAGGTTCCTAAATCTGCCTCTGCTCCAATGAGAGATCAAGTAGTATCTTCAGTGGATGAACTCGAGGAATTTGCCATGGGAAGGAACCAAAGTAATAATGCCGATGAACAAGTAAACGGTCATTCTAACGAAGAATTGGAGATGAACTCTGCTGCGGCAGCCATGAAAGAGGCAATGGATAGAGCTGAGGCGAAGTTTAAGCATGCCAAGGAAGTGAGGGAGAGGGAGAGTACAAAAACTTCTAGAAGTAAAGAAGCTGTATATTGGGATAGAGATGAGAAAGCCATGCGAAATGAGAGAGTTGAAGATGAGGAGAGCATGGATCGTGAACGGTTCCAAAGGGAAAGGGAAGAGAAGGAGAGGGAGAAGGAAAAAAGGAGAGTCGAGAAAGAGAGGGAAAGAGCAAGGGAGCTTGAGAAGGAAAGAGAGGAGAAAGAGAAAGAACAAAGGAGATTAGAGAAGGAAAGGGAGAGAGCCAGGGAGATCGAGATGGAAAGGATAAAAGTCAGACAGGCTGTTGAAAGGGCCACGAGGGAAGCACGTGAGAGGGCAGCAAATGAAGCTCGCTTAAAGGCTGAAAGGGTCGCTGTTGAAAAGGTAAATGCAGAGGCTCGAGAACGTGCTGAAAGGGCTGCAGTTCAGAGAGCTCAAGCTGAAGCCCGTGAAAGGGCTGCAGTAGAGGCCCGGGAAAGAGCGGAAAGGGCTGCAGCAGAGGCACGAGAAAAAGCGGAAAAGGCAGCTGCAGAAGCAAAAGAGAGAGAAGCACGAGAGAGAGCTTCTGCTGCAAGGGCAGAAGCTGAAGCCCGAAGTAGGGCAGAACGAGCTGCCGTTGAAAGAGCTGCTGCAGAGGCTCGAGAAAGGGCTGCTGCAGAGGCTCGAGAGAGGGCTGCTGCTGCAGCCAGGGCAAACCTACAGAAGAACGAAAATGACCTTGAATCATTTTTCAGCATGGGTAGAGCCAGTAGTGCACCTAGGCCTAGGGCCAACCCTATGGTGAGGACTTGAGTTTGTAAATCTTCTAAGTTGGTCCCTTTGCTTCCTTTTTAATATCTGGTTTCTTACTGAGTGCTTTTTTCAGGAGAACTTCTTTGATGCCCAATCACCCAAGAGACCAGAGCCTGAGACAACCAGGCCATCTTCTGCAACTTCGTCAAGTATGAGGAAAGCATCTTCAACCACTAATATTGTTGATGATCTTTCATCTATTTTTGGAGGTACTTTTGCCATGTGAACATTCAACAAAGTCTCAGTACTACGTATATCTCAATAGAAGTTGACCCTTCTGTCACAGTTGTTGATTTTAACTCTTTGTTTTGGCAAAGGTCCTCCATCTTCTGGAGAATTTCAGGAAGTTGATGGGGAAACTGAGGAAAGACGACGAGCCAGGTTGGAACGCCACCAGAGGGTCCAAACACGAGCGGTATGCTTGTGTGTTCTCTATTTAAATATGCATTGACAAACATATTGGCATGGATAAAAGAGAAAAAACTTTAATCTGTTATACTATGTTTTACAGTCTGCGTGGACTTATGCTGGATTATAATCTATTTGGACATACATAGAATGTGCTCTACTTTAATGAATCTTATCAAATTTGTGCGTTTTGTTTCAGGCTAAAGCTCTGGCTGAGAAAAATGAGCGAGATCTTCAAATGCAGAGGGAACAAGCTGAGAGACATGTGAATGCTCCTTTAAAAATAAGATACAAGTATTTCTTTAATTCTTTAGACTCCTCCTAAATACTAATAATATGCTTGCAGCGAATTGCTGAAACACTGGATGTTGAGATCAAGCGTTGGGCTGCAGGAAAGGAGGGCAATTTACGTGCTCTTTTATCAACATTACAATATGTACGTTCTTCGGCTGCATGTTAGTTATGCTTTATTGCATTATCTGAAATCAATATAGTTCCTGAGAGCATATAGCCTTCACTTTCTTTATATCATGCAAACGATATGTTAACTTAATCATTTTTCAATTCAGCTATAATAATTTAAAGATAATTTGAACCGAGTTCATTCAAACAGGTTGAACTAATTTGAATCTACTTTATCCTATTAATACCTTATAATCCAACCCAAACCATTGAGTTGCTCAATTTTTTAAATAACCCATATTAAAAAATTTAGTGAAACTTGTGGATTTATTAGTTGAAGAATCTTGCAAGCATTTCATTCAGAATAACAGTTGAAATTGCATCATAAGAAGCTAGGTCTCAGTTTTAAGAGTTCTTTGTTGGCATTGCCTAAGAATACTGTACTCGTTGACTAGTGTGGTTTACCTTTTTCGTTTACTGTTGAATGATGATTAGGTGCTCTGGCCCGAATGTGGATGGCAGCCAGTTTCTTTGACTGAGATGGTTGTTCCAAATGCAGTCAAGAAAATATATAGAAAAGCAACACTGTGCATTCACCCTGATAAGGTGCAGCAAAAAGGTGCCACTCTTCAGCAAAAGTATGTTGCTGAGAAGGTGTTTGACATTCTAAAGGTACTTCCACGCAATATATATTTTGGTAGTGATAAGAAAAGCTATACTCTGGTCAAATTTTGAAATACTGCTGCAATAGTTGTTATTTCATAATGTTTCGGGTTAGTTATGGATGTTACACGAGCACTTCAATAGAAGTCGATTTTATAGTACTAGGTTATTCTAGAGGTACCACTTAAATGATTTAGGGGGTCTTGAAATTCCTTTCCTTGTTTTCACATTTTAAATAAAAATATTTTAGTACTTAGTTATATTTCTACCTCGGTACATATTCTCCTTTTTGTTTATAAATGTGACAATTTTAGAAGTCCTTTTCTATACTATAACTATTGCATTGCGGATAATGGAAGTTTTGAATTGTATTGCTGCCCTATAAATATTTGGACTAGTAGTAGTCTAGTAGTAGACATACTGCTGGGGGTTTCAAGTCAATAAATGCTTTTTCGATTTGTTTTGAAAGTGGTTCTCGAAAAAAAATCTCTTATCATCTTCTTTTCTTTGCATCCTATGTAACATAAAATGCTGTGATAATAAAAGATTCTTACTAAGTTAAAAAAATCTCTTATCATCTTCTTTTCTTTGCATCCTATGTAACATAAAATGCTGTGATAATAAAAGATTCTTACTAAGTTAAAAAAATCTCTTATCATCTTCTTTTCTTTGCATCCTATGTAACATAAAATGCTGTGATAATAAAAGATTCTTACTAAGTTATTTTCTTTTGAAAAATTTGAATTAGAATCAAAACGAAGTACGCTTTTCAATAAACTTAAAAGTTTGTCAAGTATGAGTTTGTGTAATTTGTATTCAGAATATATAAAGTATGAGTTTTTTTTTTTTTTTCTTCATCCTCTTGAGAGTTTGTTTCCTTGAACGTTTGTATTATCTTTTCGTTATTTCAATGATAAGTTGTATCTTTGTTAGAAAAAAGAACAAAAAAAAAAGAATTGAGGTATAGAAATTTAAATTTGTGCAACCTTGATTTGGTTTGGTTTGTGAGTTTTATGATTTAAAAATATTACTATTTCATGATGGATTTCATAAGCCTGAATTTTCTTACCATCTTTTTTTCACAGCCACAGCCAGATGCTGGTGCAGAAAATTTTAAGTAAACACATAAAAACAGAAAAATTATAAAAATATTGTTGCAATCGAGTTTTCGATGTTTTAGACGAAAAACAATTAGCTGCTTTCTCATAGCTTCTTAGGTTAATGTTCATTCTTCTCAGTTACCTTTTCGGGTTTTCTTATCACAATGCGCTCGATTAACAGGAAGCTTGGAACAAGTTTAATTCAGAGGAACTTTTCTAAATTCACTTGATGATTTTTTTCTGAGAGGGAAGGGGAGAATGAATATCTAGTTCAGTTCAGAGGAAAGCTTTGCATCACGGTGGAGCTCTTCTGATTTCATCTTGGCATATGCAACCGATAAGCCGTGGCTTCCCGAGTTTGGACGACAAGATGAATTCGGAATGGTAATATGATCTAATTGTTTCTTATTCTTTTTTCTTTGCTGATCCTTTTTGTTTTTGTTTATCCTGTAAAATTGATGATGTTCCTCCCCGTTGGTGTTTTGCTCCAAGTCCCCAAGTGATGGGGAAGAGTTAGATATAAGCAGAAATATGATGAAGCTGTGTGCTTTTTTTTCTTTATCTATATTCGTTTCTTCACCAATTCTTGCTTGTGATATGTACAATTTGGGTGAATATGTAGAAGAAGTTGTATTCATAACCACACATTAAGTTCTTTGCCATTTATATAAGATGAGAAATTTCAATGCAATTTTTTTTCTTTTTCTTGTACTGTCTTCAATGCATTTGTTCCAAGTTCCGAGTATATGGAAGCAGTGAAAGTACGACGTTGTCGATAAAGATCAAAACATTGGTCGATATGTTGTTATATCTGTTAATATATCCATAAATTGGAGAGTTCAGTATCGATATTATATAAATATTCATGACATTAAAAATATATCAGTCACCGGTTATAATATAAATGTTCAGAATAAGATCTGTAACTTATTTAAAGACGGAAAAGAACTTGAATAATTTTTATCATTTTTTATTTATTTGTAGGGATTTGTCCTTAAAATTAAGATCTCCACATCATTATAGACATGGATATTTCAATCCTTGGTTTTTGGACAATCTTCACTTGATATGGACCGAAATTGATTAATGAATTATTTTTGGACGTTATGATGACTGGATGGAAAATCTTCGATGACTAATGGTCTCTTTGATAATTATTTTGAAAATTGAAAATACATATTAGAGGGAGAAGATTCTATGTAGAGTAGAGATGAAGATAGTGTGGGTGCAAATGAGAATGCTTTCATCGTGAAAATTTTTAATCCTCGTCTCTACCTCGTTCTTCCATCCGAGAGATGTTCTCGAGAAAAATTATCAACTTATTATTGTTTTTAATTATTTTTAGAATTTAAAAATAAAAAGTGCAATAAATATATATTAATTATTTAAAAAATGGAATCAGGGACATATTTTCGATTTAATGTAAGACATGAAAATACAAGTTTAGAAATATGTAAATAAACTTTTGGGAACAATTTTAGAGAGATAAATAAAAAGATTTAGAAAAAAAATCAGTGAAAGAAAAGTTAAAAGACAAAAACAGAAATTTTGGAGGAAAAAAAAATAAAGTCTAGAGGAAAAGATATGTTAAAGAAAAACAAAAGAAATTAGAAAGAAAGAGAAAAATTAAAGTGGAAAAAAATTTAAACATAAAAACAAGATTCGAAATATATTTTTTAGAGAAAAGAAAGTTACAGTGAGAGAAATTGAACGAGAAAAGAAGATATAATTTTCAAAAGAAAAAATAAATTAGGAAGACAAAGAAAAGTTATAAAAGACGAAATTTTAGAGAAAAAAAAGTTTGGAAAAATATTGAACTTTTAGAGAGAGAAATGAAATTGATCTATCATAAAAAAAATAATAAAGAAAAGTACAAAGAGATTTTTGGATATAGAGAGATAAATAATAATAAATATTCAAAATATGAAAATTTAGAGAGAGAAATAAATTTTGTAGAGAGAGAAAAAAAATTTAGAGTGACAAAGAAATTTTTTAGATATAAATATGAGAATGAAAAAAAAAACTTGAGTACCAGAAGAAAAAATCAGATTTTAAAAAACAGAGATCTCTATTTGAAAACTACGGGCCGTTTGATAACCCTTTGGTTTTTGGTTTTTAGTTTTTTTTTTTTTTTAAATAGAGTTGTTTGATTACCAATTCGGTCGCAACGTCATCGCGACGCGGAGCGGCTGACGTCGAAAACGGTACCACATTTTGTCAAAAATTATCCTATTATGTTATTTAGTCCAAAAAAAAGAAATGTTTTTATTTTATTTTAAATGTCCCATATTATATTAATTTACATTTTGTTATAAGATATGAATTAATAGGTATGAGTGGCACGAAGACCATTAGAAAAATTTTGACAAATAAAAACATAATTTTAATTTTAGGGAAAATTAAGACTTGAACTTGCGACATGTGTGTTGACACTGAAACATCACACCAATGTGCAACCACTTGACCTATGCTCTTTTTTAAAATACATATTTTGTATTTTTGAATTTTGTTTAAAAAAAAAGAAAAAAAAACTCTAAATGAAATCTTTTATTTAAAATAATTATTTAGTAAAAATAACGATAAAATGAAGCATTCAAAGATTCGAACTTGGGTCATGAACATTAAAAAACAAACATCTTACCACTATGCCAACATCTTAAGATGTAAACATTAGATTCTTTTACACAAACAAAATTTTTATTTTATTTTTTTAAACTAAAAAAATACGAATTTTGTTAAATTAAAACAACAAAAAAAGATATCTTTTTTTTATTTATTTCGAAATTAACAAAATTATTTAAAAGAAAAAAAAATTTATTTAAAAACAAAGTCAAATTTAGTTTAACAAAACTTATTTGCTAAAAAAACTGTTTTTTTGTTAAGATTTTTTCAAAACCATAACCACCAAACCATTAAAAGAATTTTAAACGAGATTTTATTCTAAAAATACTCTGTTTTTATCTCCTCATTTAAAATCTAAAAAATAAAACAAAGGTAACACAAAAAATATAAACCGTGTAAAAAAAATATCATTTTAAATAAAATGAATCCAAATTTTTTTAAACAAGATTTATTTTATAAAACTCACGTATTTTAACCAAAATTTTCAAGTAAAATATTTTATTAAAATAAAATAAAGTGATTATTTATTTCATTTAAAAAAAACTCTTCCTTTATTAGAAAAAGAAAACCTTTTATTTTAAAACAAATTTTAAAATATCAAAATCCTTATTTTATTTTCAAAAACTCATTTAAAATTAATTTAGAAGATTTTTTTTATCTTTAAAAAAAATTTCTTACTAAAAGCATTTTCTTTTAAAAAAGTAAAAAAAAAAACTTTTTCTTAAAAGAAAAACATTTTTTAAAAAAATCTTTGGATAGAAACAAAAGAATCTGTTTCAAATCAAAAGCATGATTTTCAAAGCCAATTTTCCCTTATTAAAAAAAAAAAAACTTTCCAACGTATTTGATACTTACGTAAAACGCACCACCGGGAAGGAGATCGTCGGAGTGCTAGCGAGCTTGGAAGAAGGTTGTTGATGCTGTCGTTCGTGCCATTCCCTTGCGTCGTCGGAGGTCGTGGGTATGAAGGAGAAAAGTGGTGATGGTGGGATAAGAGAAATGGAGAGAAGAAGATACGGTGATCAGTCCCCAACTCTCCCCTATGCACTGTCCCTTAAATACATAAAAAAATAACGGTAAAAGAAGAAGAGTCAAAACAAAGAGAGAAAAAATGAGGGAGAAGAAGAAGGGGCGAGGACATGTACCTTGGGTTTGACGAGGGAAAGGAGGAAATAAAAACTAATTTTAACAAATCAGTTTTAGTGAAAACAAAATCCCTTTTAATTAAAACAAAATGTTTTTGAAATAGAATTATCTACTTAAAAACAAATCAATTTTTATTTTAATAATAAACAAAATCTATTAAAACAAAATCTAAACAAAACCGTTTTTTATTTTCTTATTAATAAAATCAAAATTTAACATTTTTTTTAGTTTAAGTTAATTTAAACTTTATGTTAAAACTAATAATAAAGTAAAATGATGTTATTTTTAATTAAAATCAAACTTTTTTAAATAATAATAATAACAAAAAAATAAAATAAGCCAGACCAAATACGGTGTCTACAAATTTAATTTTTCGTTTTTTGTTTTTTAAAAACTATTTTGAAATTCTATGTAAATTAAAAAAAAAAGTTATCAAAAACGTATTTTTGTTCTTCAAAATATGATTTTTTTCTTCTAATACTTAATTTTTTTTCTTTATCGTATTCATCTCTAAAAAAATTATTTCTCGTTCTAAAATTTGTTTATTTCTAAATTTTTCTCTACAAAATTTAATTTTCTCTCTCCAAAATTTTCATATTTTGAATATTTATTATTATTCTCTCTCACTCCAAATTTTTCTGTATTTTTTTTATTGTTTTCTTATTCATTTCTCCTCCAAAAAATTTAATATTTTTTCTAACTTTTTTCTCTCTAAAATTTCTTTTATAACTTTTCTCTCTTTTTATAATCTCTTTTTTCCTCTTAAAATTATATCTTATTTTCTCGTTCAATGTTCAATTTTCTTTCACTGTAACTTTTATTTATCTATGTATTTATTTATTTTTTCTAAAAATTATATTTTGAATCTTGTTTTTATCTTTAAATTTGTTTCCATTATAATTTTTCTCGTACTTACTAATTTCCTTTTTTTTCTTTAGCATAACTTTTCCTCCTGACTTTACTTTTTGTTCTCTAAAATTTTTCTCTTTTTGACTTTAACTTTTATTTCACTAATTTTGTTTCTAAATCTTTTTATTTATCTCTCTAAAATATAGGAAATGCATATCCTGACCCTATCGCCGATTCCATTTTTTAAATAATTAATATATATTTATTACACTTTTTTATACTTAAAATTTAATAAAAAACAATTATAAAACTGATAATTTTTCTCGAGAACATCTCTTGAACCGAAGAATGAGGTGGAGATATGGATTAAAAATTTTCACGAGCACGAGAATGAGAGAACATCCTCACTCTCACCAACACCATTGCATCTCTATTTTACATACAATTTTCTCTCTCTAATATGTATTTTCAATTTTCTAACTTTTTAAAAACATAAAACTAAAAAATGGTTATCAAATATGTTTGGTTTTTTATTTTTTTAAAAACAAAAAACAAAAATGGTTATGAAACATATTTTTGTTTTTTAAAAAATAAAAATGGTTATGAAACATATTTTTGTTTTTTTTAAAAATAAAAATGGTTCTCAAACATATTATTGTTTTTTAAAAACAATAAATCAAAAACAATAAAAACAAAAAACAGAAATGGTTATCAAACGAGTCCTAATTTTTTTTTTTTGAAATTTATATAGAATTTCAAAATGATTTTTGAAAAATAGAAAAAATTGGTTATCAAAGAATCCTATTTTTAAAAACTAAAAACCAAAAACCAAAAATTAAAAACAAAATGGTTATCAAACGAGTCTTGAATAGTTAAAGATTTTGGATTGTGGAATTTTTGTTTTATGTTTTATTTTTTTCTTTTTTTTTTGTTTGTTTGTGGACTTACACCATAGTGGAAGCATAAAGGTAAATTTGATGTTTTTCTAGTTAGTAATGAAGATTTTACTTTGAGAAGATAACTTTCCTTAGAAACTCCCACAAATCTACATGTGTGTTTTGCTTTGGCCACTAA